GCGTGTGCCAAATTAATTACTGAATCTTATCTTTTGGGGACCGGAAGGGTCTCCTTCCCAAAACTTGCACGCGAAACCAGGCGGCGATTGTCTCTATTTGTAGGCAAATCGGGCTTATCGGCAGCAGATTGTGCTAATTGAAAGCTCTCGCTCATCCGTTTCTTAGAACGCAGGAAGTCTTAAATCTAATATTTAATTAAATTATTGCCCCTGATATCGCTCGTCGCTTTCGGCGGCTAACTTTGACATTTTCCACGAAAGAAAAGAATCGTGGAGTCCTCAGGACGTAACATTTGTATTAAAAATATAATTTTATATGAAAATTTTATTTTTCTTAGGTGGCGTTTTGCTATACATGGATGTATAGACGGATATTCACGATTAATTTTATATTTGAAATGCACTACTTCAATGACAGCTAGCACAGTAATTCCATTTTTTGCTAACGCTGCAGTACAATACGGCTTACCATCCAGAGTAAGATCAGACTTTGGTTATGAAAATCTGTTTGTGGCAATGGTTATGAATGCCATTCGAGGATTAAACAGAGGAAGTCATCTGACGGGTCGCTCGGTGCACAATCAACGTATAGAGAGATTATGGGTAGACGTATTTAAAGAAGTAATCGACTTTTTTTATACCGAATTTACTGCTTTGGAAGAAGATAGATTATTAGATATTAATAACGAAAAACATGTATTTGCATTACAACAAGTTTATTTGACATATATAAATGAAAAACTCGATGTTTTTACACAAGCGTGGAACTTTCATAAGTTAAGAACAGAAAGAAATAAAACTCCTAGGCAACTTTGGTTGTCTGGTATGATAAAAAATGTCAATAGTGAGCATACCGCTACCCGTGAAATTTTTCAAGACCAGCCTCACTTATACAATAGAATTATTGATGCTTTTGGAATAGACGAATTAAACTTTGCGATTATTACACGTGATGAAGAAAGCAATTCCAATTTAACAGTTCAGTTGGAACTTAGTGAAGATCGAATGAATTATATAATTAATGTGTTAGCTGATGCTTCTACAGATTATAAAACAAAGTATTTGCAGATAGTAGCATATTTAAACAATATAAACTACATATAATTTTAAGTATTTCGAAGTATGTTAAAAAGTATTAAGACATGCTATTAAACCTTTATATTTATAAAAATATCTTTTAATAAGTACATTTTTATAAATATATATTTACAAGTAAGTATATTGAAAAGAATGTTCATCATCTAAAATAGAATCAAAATGAGTTTTCAGTTCTTGATAGGAAAAATAAGTTGTTGGCAATTCCAAAATATTCGAACATGTATGAGCTGAAGGAAAACCCGAAGGTTTAAAACTTACGGTTATTTTGTCAGGCAAGTGTAGCGATGCAGTTACAAATAGTAACAGTTTTAAAAGATTATCTTGTGTCAAGTTCTTTATATATGTTCTAAAAAAGTAGAAAATTCGAGTTTGAATATTATTTAACTCTTCTGGAATAGTCTTTAAAACAGTTACAACTTTATTTGGATTAGCAACTTGTTGTTCAAATAGAAAATTCACTTTAGATTCAGTCAAATCTGTAAAAAATTTTTCGCAAAATAATGGAATTCCATCTTTCATCTTTTTAATAAAATTATTACTTTCAATGCATAACATATTTTCTGCAATAATGCTAAGCTGATCTTTTATTTCTGATTTTTTTGGATTTTCTAGAAGTCCGTAAGTTGTAAAAAGGTCTAATAACATGTCTTTTTCAGAATCGTTTAATTCATCAAAGGAATTTTTTGCTTTGTATATTAACTTTTGTTCCACTAGTGTTAAAAAATAAAATAGATCTTCCAATAACATTTCTTGTTTTACTTCTTTATCTAGAGAACTTAATTTTAAATATACGGATTTACAAATATTTGTAGGGATTGATTTTGTTAAAATTACGGTATGGGCCAAAATTCTACCAATGATTTGAAAGTTTTCATCTAAACCTTTCCTTATTTTTGATAAAGATAAGAAGGGAGCTGACCGATTCTCTCCTCTAAAAAATTCTGGCATAATTTTTTTCCAAAATTCCGAAAATAATTCCTTTGTTAAACCACCGTAGTCTAGTCCTAATTCATCTTTAAAAGAGACTTTTATCTTTTTTTGTACTATCGTTTCATCTTTATATAAATTCAACATTTCTTCAACAACATTTTCTCTTTTGATTGTAATGTCTATATCAATTATTTCTTCATTATTAGGTAAATCTGGATACTCTATATCAATTTCATTGGTAAATTCTTGATTTGCTTCTGTAATATATGAGAAAGTATCCAGATCCAAGTCTGAAGCAAATTCATCTGTAAAAGAAGAAATTTGGCTGTTGTTAGCTTTAATGGTTTCTAAATACAAGACGTGAAAACATTGAGACATGGCAAGAA